CTCCATCTTCAGGGCAGGTGAATTGTGTTGTGAATACAGAGAGCAGTAGCTGTAATGATTAGGAAGTGAAAGGCGCTTCTTTATATAGGAAGTAGGCGGGGGGGGGGTTTTGTTAGGGAGATGGGACCAATGGGAACAGTGAAGAGCGATTAAGGCCATATATGGTCAGGGTTCGAAGGGGGGGGACCAGTGAATCCAGGCTGAAACAAAGAATACACGGCGCCAGATCCCAGAAGACGACTTTCTTCAAGCTTTGAAATAGATCACTGCAAAAACTTTCTGACTCATCCATGTATGATGTAAGCTGTTTTGTTGTATCTTGCTTTTGTTGGGAGAAGCAATAATTAATTGATGGTTAGCCACCGCTCTATGTTCTGTAGGATGATACATGTCTGAAAATTTTGAATTTAGGATGCCAAATATTTTTCTGATTTTTCATAATGTGTCATAATTTGGATTGTCACTGTCTTGTGTTGGTGGGTTCTGATTGTACATGAAATGCAGAGGTTTCTGAATCTTGAGATAATGAAGCTGGCTGGACCTACAGAAAACGCATGTCACTTGATTGCTAAGCACTGTTATGTGGTGTCATTGCACACACATAAGCTATATGGACACAAAGATAAGACGGTTATAGTATTGTTTGCTGCACGAAAGTTGCAGGCGTTCCCGAGCAGTGGATTTGCATGTCAGAATACTGTTCAGTTAGTAGTTTTATCAGTTTCATTCATGTGGTTCAGAAGTGCAGAACCACAGCACCACAAAAAAAAACATATTTTCCACTCAGGATGTGCAGCTTTGTCTTCTGGTTTGCAGGAGGCACCTTACCACAGAGAATTGCATCGTGTCTTGAGGTGCTCGATGGATTCATGAGGCTGTCATACCCTGTAGTGTCAAGCATGGTTGTGGAAGATAAAGCTGCAGGAAGTGATGGACCTGGGACTGTAATGGACTGTGTCAGCCGCATCCTGGGTATGTTTAGACTTGCTTGAGCTGTTTCTGCAATTGACTGAAGTAAACTCAGACTGGACAAGGAGAACTGGTAGTGCAGGTTGGGCCTGGTAAAGTTTGCTGTGGTGAGAGTAGCAGTACCTGTGAGACTGTCATTTTTTAAAAAAAAAAAAAAATATGTACTTAAGAAGCGTGTTGCATTAATATTACATTTTTGTACATATATATATTACTGTCTTAAATGTGGCATTTATTTCTATCTCATATATGTTTTATCTTACTACCACAAGTTTTGGCCCTGTATGGCCATAATGAGGTACATGAGAATCCTGCTGAAAATTATTTCAGTGTGCATGCATACATACACACACTCACGCACACAACATTCATCCCTTGACAGGTGAATATGAAACATATCGGAAGATGTAGATTGCACAGTGCAACTTGAGCAAAGAGACATTAAACTATAATATATACACAGTACTTAAACATCAAAATAGGTACAGAATCGAGTATTGCAAAATATGAGTTTAAGTGCTTAAAAGTAGACAATAGAAAGGATTAAAAAAGCTAAACATGATTTAAAGGAAACTTTTATTAAAGGGAATAAGTAATTTGATATAAACTCTCCTGTAGAATAAACAGGATATGTAAGAAAATAATACTTTAAACCAGACATAAAAAAATTGCTTATCACTTTTAGTCTTGATGTACTAGGTGGAAATTTATTGGATACTTTAATAGCAGAATATGTAATACCCCTCCAGGTAGAAGAAAGTCTAACTAAGAATATGTGTAATTGATTCTTATAACTTATATTAATATTCATGAACAGAAGAATGCTCTATTTTGTGCCACATGCCTATATGCATTGTTAATTTTTTAAATTATTTGTTCAGAGAAATAATTAAAGTTATTTAAACGCCCATTAAAATTCTGTTGCACTGCATTTGGTGCCACAGCATGGATATTATGTGTGTTGCAGTGGCTTGTCTAGATACAACTCCCTACTTGGTTGCTTGTGTTACTGTGCTGGCCTTGTGTGGAGATTCATAATCTGGTTATCCGGGCCACTGTTTTTCATGGTTTTGTCAGTTCCTCCAGGCAAATATTGATGTAGTTCCCAATTTAGGCCATGGTCACTTCTTCCAAATTCTTCCTAGTTCATTGCTCACTAATCGTCATGCCATTCAATGCTGTATAATCTAGATATGGGAGCACTGTAAAACAAACCACAAAGGAAATATGACAAGAATCAATTAGTTATATTAAAACAATTTTTCTTCTAGGTATTCATAATCTGAAGAATATTAGTTCAAATTCCACATTGTCAGAACTGGGCATGGACTTCTTGACAGCCGTGGAGATTAAGCAATGCCTTGAACGAGAATTTGGAGTATTTCTAATGCCACAAAAGATCTGCAGCCTGACATTTGCATGCCTCCAAGACATGGCTGAAAAGGGGCAGGAAGAACCACCATTACGAGGTACACAGTTGCTTCTTCTGTGTGGAAATTATTTGTGATATAAGTCAACTGGGTCATCATAAGAATTAGGTTACAGGAGGCAAAATTGAGTATGAGGTATCAGGTATCACATTGCACTTGTAGAAGTCAGCTTTGCACAGAGGTTAGAGCTGAAACATTCAGTGACACAGGGATTGGCTTTAGTAACAGAAATATATTAAATTGGCGCTCAGTGTCTGCTCTATGGAACCCAATAGTTCATCTGAGGCACTTATTCCACTACAAGTATTCACAATCTGTTTCTTATATATTCTAGTTAATATTCCCCCCCCCCCATCTGTTCCTAGTTCTGACAAGTAGTTTCTATTGAAAACACTTTCCAAAGAGCATTTAAATGCCTCATTTCCATATCTCATTTCTGATGCATATCCTGCCCTTCTGAACCTATTTTGTAAAATCATTGTAACAGTACTAGATGAAAAATTCAAAGTATAAGATCCTTATTAGTAATAATATCAGTTTTCATGTTGCTTTATTCCTCATAGGTCCAAATATTGTCACACAACATTTTGTTCCCAAACATCCTTATGTCCATACCTCCATTACAGTGATCACTCAAGTTTCTCACTCATATAAACAACAGGTAATAGACAGATTTACATGATTTTGTCTTTATTCTTGGGGAAGGGCGAGAAAGATTCTGAACTGAATGCAAACAAGCAGTCTTTTGTTAATTCCACTGTGACTAATTTTCTAAGTTTCCAGAATTTCTGATATGGAAAGTTTGAGCTCACAAGTACAGTATCTGGAATCTGCTGTGTTTGTAGCTCCGTCTGTTGATGATGATGGACCAAGTGAAGGGCTGCAGTTGCTGCGTGTGATAGGGGACGAGGCATCTTCAGCACAGCCTGTTGTGTGCCTGCCATCAGCAGCTGAGGCTGGGACAGATGTAGAAAATGAGAGGAAGAAAGGACCAGTACTGTTCATGTTGCCTGGAGTGGAAGGTGCAGAAAGTGTCCTTGAGCCTCTGGCCAAGAACCTCAAGTACCAGACAGTGTGCCTACAGCTGAACTACAGAGGCTTTGGGCAGACAATTCAAGACATGGCACAGTCCCTGCTACCAGTATGTATAGCTTGCCTTTTACCTGCAGAATATTATGCACAGAAATTAAATTTTGTAGGTGTTATGAAGAACAAGCTTTGTGAAACAGAATCCTTCTTCAGAAGCTGATGGTATCTTAACTGGACAGGACTGTCTTTCATTATCATATTCACAGGAACTTGCAACTGGACTATATCCAGTCCACATCCTCACTGTTTGTTTTAATATTATCCTTCCATCTATGTCTACGTCTCCTAAGTGGCAACTTTTCCTTCAGGTTTCTTAACCAAAATTATACAGGGGGGCGCAGGAAGGTGGGAACTCTTGAAAATTGAGAAAAAAAATACAATTTTTTTTTTATTTAATCAAGGTACTCAATGTGCACTTCTACATTGCAAATTTAAAAATAACTCACAGTTTGAAAATAACATCGCAAAGATGATGTCCATCTTGCCGAATACACTCTGCAAGTCGATCCTGAAAATTGCGCATGGCTCGGAGCAAAGTGTCGGGTTGTATTGCTGTGATCTCTTCTGTTATTCGTCTTCTAAGTTCGTCTAGGGTTGTGGGGCGTGTATTGTAGACCACGCTCTTCAAATAACCCCATAAATAAAAATCACACACTGATAAGTCTGGGGAACGAGGTGGCCCAGAAATGTCACCGTTTCTGGAAATTACGTGGTTACCGAACAGACGCCTGACGCTGCCATTGACACTCGTGTGGTGTGTGCGGTCCCCCTGTCCTGTTGAAACCAAGTGTTGTCGATATCAATGTTCAGTACACTGTGAATTCTTGCAGCAAGAAACGTCTCAAGCATGGTTACATAACGCTCAGAAGTTACTGTCACCGTGTTTCTTGCGATATCTTCCAAAAAATATGGTCCTATCACCCTTCAAGCCAAAACTGCACACCATACAGTGACCTTGGGACTGTGTAGAGGTCGTTGATGAAGAACAGCAGGATTTTCTTGTGCCCAGTACTGACAGTTCTGCTTGTTCACATACCCGTTTAAATGAAAATGAGCTTCGTCTGACATCCTTGTGCATGTTTGGAAGCCACACAGCAATTTGTATGAGCTGACATGCTGTTGATTAGAGATAATTGGAAATTATGGTTACTGCTGTATTATTGGTTCACGTACAGTGCACAGCCTTGTTTCTAAAGGGGAGGTTTCAGAAATTAGATATTTCAATAATATTAAAATTGACCATAAAGAGTCATTTGTGGTTCTATATGGTTTAAAGGGGCATAACTTGTTATGGACTGTTACTGATGTTGCTCCAGGAATTTGACAGCATTAAACAGCAATGCAGTGGTTCACAGTCACATGCATCAGGAAGTGTACAAAGAAGCCATATCTGTCATGTCTGTGAAGACATGCTTAAGAGTCTTATGAGACAGGTTAAATGATGGTGTAAGACATTTCCAAGTGGAGTATGATGTCATGTCTGATAGACTTCCTCTTTATTTTACAGCACAGTTGATATGACTAATTGTATTCACTCTACATGTATACCACAGCTGATCATTTTATTTGCTGTTGAACATGATTGAGGTGAACCGAAGACACATACAGATATAATTGAAGGAAGTCTTATGATTATTGAGGTATGAATTCAAGCATCCAACTTGGCTGGCCTGTGGTTTTCAGATTTGTGCTCTTGGATGTAATCATACTGAACTGTTCTGTGTGAACGTCTTCTGGGTTCCTTGATAATCTGTATAAACTAACACAGATTCCTTAATGAGTACTGCTGCACTTTGTCATGTCCACATGAACACAATGTCACCATTCTCATTTCAGTAACAGCACAGCAAAACAGAAGACTGCCTGCTCGATAGTGACCTACTGTATACTTTTGCATAACGAAGTGATACTGGTTCATACGAATTATCACCTACCTGTGATATCCTGAGAGATTGTAATTTTGTGTGTTTAATGAGCCTCATCACAAGATGGGTTCCTTTTTCGACACTGCTGTGATAATAACTTTATAAAATGTCGTCATATACTTCTGAAGATGCTTGCATTCATTGCCAGTTTCTACCAGTGGAAAATACTTACTGAATTCTTTTTCTTGGTTTCAGATGAATTTTGACTTGAACATTCATTTTCATACATATTTTATTATACAAGATTTGTAGATCAGATGGCAGAGAGCGTGAGAAGATCACTGTGTTCTAAGATGGGACGCTGTGTAACTTGTAGAAGTTTACTTGCTGCTTACCTTGCGAATCTGAAGTTGAAGGTATGTAGTACATTTCTCCGAAGAATGTGTAATCTTTATCAGGACCAGATGCTGTCATATCCTAGGAGTTTTTCATACAAATTTTACATACTAATATGACATATAGTCCTCCAGTTTATGTCAAGATATTGATGTCTAAGCATAAAGCCCTGGGTAATTCATGACGATGAACTATACACATCAGAGGAAATACAATAAGTAATACATTATTTGTGAGTCATACATCATATTATTGTACAGGGTGGGGTGCAGAAACTTCCTTTTTTGAAAGCGAATAAAAGACAAATTATTGCTGATAGACAAAATTTATGTTTAGCTAATGAAAGAACATACTTTAAAGTTTTAAATCATGTAGTTTTAAACAAAATACTTGAAGGTGGTGGCCACCGTTCTCTATGCACTGATGCAACTGTTTTCTGAAGTTCCCCTCTGCATGTTCCACCATGTGCACCAGAATTTGGGCTACTTCCTGCCAAATAACATTCTTCAGCTGAAGCAGGTTTTTGGGGCAATGTTTAAAAACCTCTCCCTTGAGGTATCCCCATAAAAAAAATCACAGGGCGTTAGATCAGGTGAGTGCGCTGCCCACGGGATGTCACCTCGAAGTGAGATGAGCAGTCCAGGGAACTTTGCCCTCAAAACTCATTGAAGCTTGGGTTGTGTGGGCTGTGGCACCATCCTGTTGGAACCAGACATTTCCTAGATGCATTTCTTCAGGAGCTGGTTCGAAAAAGATCTCAAAATCGACTGTCAAACTGCCTCCACATTTTCTGGCATTGTAGCGGTCTGTTGTCGTCCTGATGATTTTTTCACCACACTCCCAGTTGTCCTAAAGTTCTCTACCCACAAAACAATCCATTTCCAGTTGGGAACCGGTCCTCGGGGCTTAATTCCGAAGTGAGTATGGAATGCATGCTGCACCACCATGTAGGAATGGTTGTTCGAAAAATAGTCTTCGACAGCAGACACACGCTGCTCACTTGTCCACCTCATGTTTCCTACAGAGGAGTATTAGGCAGAAACTTCCACGACTGCTGCGTTTGCCGAGCCTATACCCACTTTTCTGCGACCTCCCCTCTCTTCACAAAAAAGGAAGTTTCTGCGCCCCACCCTGTACATATACATCACTATGCACATAAGTTGGCAAATTTTTTAAGTTCTGCCGGATTATAATAACACTAAACATAATCAACGAAGTTTCTGTTTCAAAGCCTTCACTGCCTCGTACATAGCTGGCTGATCATGGTTCGGCTCCTTTGTAATCAGTCTCAAAATATCGTATTATATCATAGCCTGTAGCTATGCTGACTGAGCTGTCATGTTTCCCTGTTTTTCAAATTTCATTAATTTATTTAATAAACTGGGGGCAAAATCAGTCAAGGACATGTCTTTTTTCGGGGACTGTGACTGAAAGTAGGTTACATTACTCCCATGTCACTTTTTCCTTCATCAGAATAATCACCGTTACATCTATACATCCACTCTCCCATACACCTTCATGGTGTAGTGCTTAATTAGCTAACCACAGGGACAATTTTACCTTTTACCTCATTCATTACTTTCATTTTTGTCCTTTTTTTCTCTCTCACTCAAAAAACTGAAGGATGTTGTCATAACTGTTCCCCACATTCCTCATCATTACATTCATCAGCCAAAGTATCTGCATATAACTCAGACAAAATATCATCTGCTTCCATAACCAGCCTACTCAAAAGCTTGTTTCATACTTACAGACGTTACAAAAGAAAGTAGGGGGATGATCTGAATCAGCAGTGACACATCTTGCTTCAAGCTGTTTATAAAAGGGAACCTGATCAGCTGACACATGTGTCTGTTCAGTACAGCATAAGAAATCACTGAACTACATGACCCTTCAGCAAATCATGACACAGAAATTACAGCTTTCTGTATGACCTAATGGCTAAATGATAAAATCTAAACTCCTGCTGTAAACACTGGCCACTGCATATTGCACCAGTCATGTGCATACCAGATGTACAGATGGCCTGATGATGGCCAGTCAGGCCAAATTATGTAGCATATTAAATAGATATATACAGTCGGTTCCAGGTGTTTGGTGCCATACTTCAGGAGCGTAATGAGGGTTCCCTGTAGAACAACTTTGAAATAGGAACCCATGTCCGCAAATGTAAAATAGCAGTGCTGGAATAGGGAGCTTGTGGATACTGTTACTGCTTTGGGAAGGTGCAGACCTATGATTTTGAAGTGGCGATATCAAAAAGTAGATACCTTGATATTATTAAACCCAATCTTAAAGGCTCATTTGTGGTTATGTTACTGATGTTGCTCCAGTAATTTGACAAATGTCTACAGCATTACCGGGGTTCATAATCACATGCTTCAGAACTCTTAATTTCATGCAGTAATGACTTCCATCTCTATGACTATATGCTTAACACTCCTATTTGACAAGCCAAACTTACTGAGATGTGTAACATTCTGTGGACTGCAAAGATGAAGTAAGAAATTTCATATTTGGAGTTGAAGTCATGTGTAATAGACATACATATATTCCTATTTATTAATAGCACTAATGACATTACTATTTGCATTCAGCCTCCATTTATAGCACAGTTGAGCATATTACTTTGTTTTTTAATGTGTTTGAAATGAACTGAAGAAACATGAACAGTATTTATTTAAAAATATTTTATGATGCTCATGAAAGTATGAATTAATTTTGGCTGGCCTTTTCTTTGTAAACATCTTCTGGATTCCTTGGTAATCATATAAACTAGCTCAGATTCCTGGATTAGTACCAGCTACACTTGCAATATCCTCAGTAACACAAATTGGCATTCACATTACAGAACAGCACATTTAGACAGAAGACTGCTTACTTAATATTGACCTACTGTATACTTCTGTACCGTGAAGTGAAACAGGATTGAACATGTTATTACTTACCAGTGGTATCCTGAGAGAGTGTGATTTTGTGTGTTTCATGAGCCTCATCACAAGATGAGTTTCTGTCCTGATATTGGAATGGTGCTGGCTTTAAAATTTGTTGTTGTACATTTATTAATTGGCTTCTGTTCATTGCCAGTTTCTACCAGTGCATAATAACTGCAGATTTTTTTTGTTGATTTGTAATAAATTTAGCCTTGATCAAGTCACCTTCAATACATATTCCCATACACAAGATTTGAAGATCTCATGGGAGAGACTATGAAGATTTCCATCTTCTGGGATGAGCTGCTGTGTAGACTAGTTTAAGTATATTTTACTGCTTGCTTACTCAGTTTACTCTTTTGATGCTGAACCTGGAAATATGTAATACATTCCTCTGAAATATCTGGAAACTTCTACTAGACGAGATATTGTCATACCCCAGATGATAGGATTCTTTATAATTCAGTACTGTTGTATCCTTTTGAGATGTCTGCCCATTTTGAGACACATATGTGTCACCCAGTCTTATAGTGTGTCCAAGTGTTAAAAGAATGAATAATGCAGTGTTTAGTTTCACTGGGAATTATCCTTTTGGGGAATCCTCAAAATTATCTATAAATCCCACCTGTTCTTAGAGTTGGTGTATGAAATATTTTGTAATTTTGAAATCTTGTATGTGACTCTGTGTTCTAGTGGTCAGTGATCCTGGCTGCAGATCTAGAGGTCCGGCGCTACCAGATTTTTTCTGAGAAGTAGTGTGTCTGGAACGGGGTCCACTCAGCCTTGTGATGATAATTGAGGAGATATTTCAAGGAAATAGCGGCTCCTATCTAGAATATCGAAATTAATGGCTCTGGAAATTTTGTTGCTCTGACCATGCGACACCCTCTGTCCACAAAAGTTGGCACTAAACTTCGCCAACAAGCGGCAGTTGCTCAGTTGGTATGGTTCACTTGCAGACTGAAATCACAGAGTTTTTTTTTTTATTATTATTTTGATTTGAATGTGAATACAGTACATATTCAAAATATATGCTGTGCCTGTGTAATTCAGCCGTTTCTTCTTTTGCAGTTAAATGTACCTGTGCTACTAACCATGCCTGTCTCCACAAATGCGAGACTACAGTGTAGGCGGTCTTCCCTTGTGAGGAGGTGTCATCTCAGAAATTGCAGGTTATTTTCCTCAGTTGGATATGAGAAAATCTATTTAACAGTATAGTATGGTGAGGAAATATGACCAGCACTTGCTGTTCAGCTGTGAATTCTTGTGATATGTAATATTCATGATTCTTAAGTTACTGAACCGTTTTAAGACCAAATGTGTATATTAATAAATGCTACATTCTTGTGGAGAATTTAGAAATTGGAGTCTTTCTAGTAAAAACGTAAAACTATCTCTGTGAAGGGCCATAAGGTTGTGAGATGAGGGTCCCACGTTATCTAGACAATCTGCTCAAAGATAGCGGTAAGGTTGTCAGCCTCACGCACTGGCCGCGCTTTACTCTCCAGGAAAATTATTTAATTAATTCCTGGTACTCATTTCTGTTAGAGGTTGAGTCAAACCCATGGCCTAGTGAGGCTGGAAGGATTACATCAATTGAAAAAAATCCAGTGACCTCATCGGGACCTGAACCCGTGACCTTCCAGCTTGTGGCAAAGTGCCTCAACCAACTATGCTACCGTGTGCCCCCGGAAGTTTTTCTAGGAGACAACTTAATTATTCAGCTCTCCATGTCTGTTCCACCTTTTATGGTGCTTATTTCTACTCTAGTTATAAATGTATTACATTGCTACTGGAGAAAGTTTTGAAGCTGCAATTTGCTTTGATGTGACCCATATTTGTGTGATTTCATTTACTGGCTCCCAATATATAACTGTTCATGTAAGCAAATTTGTTTGAATTGCGGTTCACTTTTCTTTAATACTGCATAGTTAAGAAATGTGTGAAACCAGAGCATGCAAAATTTAGCAGGCACAATGCACAGGACGTTATATGCTGTTTTGTGAGTGTCAGGGGGCAGAATTAATGAAATGGTAATGAATACATTGCTGTAATAATGTCAAACTCCCTCATAAAGACCTTCACAACACACATATTACTCTGTGTTATTACATGTTCCTTGTTACCATGCACATAGAGGACTAAAGAGAAACATTTTTTTACATGTTGTCACTCCCTTGTGATATTCTGAGACAGAGTAAATTTTGCAGATTTCATGAACCTCATCACAAAATATTTTCCTTTTCCTTATATAGTGGTGTTGTTGGCTTTACATTTTTTATACATTTCTGTAAATGCATCAATTCACTGCCAGTTTCAACCACAGAAAATGCTTACAGAAGTGTTTATATTGATTTGAGACGTGTTTTGCCTGGAGCAGCCATCTTGAACCCATACTTATATATACAAAATTTCAGCTTTTAGCTTACTGCCATGTGGAATGGGATGCTCTGTAGCCTGATAGAGTTTGCTTGGTGTCTGCTTACTCAGCTTACCCTTTGACCCTGAAGATGGGAGTTCTAGTATGTAGTAGGTATTACTCCACCACAGTATTTTTGAGAGATAATTGTATAATTATATGAAAATTGTAGCCAGGACACTCAGATGATGAATTGTGAATTGATACAATGTGCAGTAGTTTGAATGAAGCCACAGTAGGAAACAGTGAACTGATGTAGTGTATAAATTTCTCCGCATATTCTATAGTGTTGCAACTGACTGCTGAACTATTACCATCACTGTTTTGTGATAAACCATGTCTAGATTCAGTATCAGAGCCACTTGAGTTAAACTTTGCTCCACACTGAGTAGTTCAAAACCAGTTCTTGAAATAATGTGCCCAGTAGCACAGTGAAATTACATTAATGAGAAAATAACAGGTTAATACAAGTTAAATTATGGGGGAGAAGAGTAATATATATAAGATATTGGTGGGAAAGCCAGAATGAAATAGACCACTGGGAAGGCCAAGGCATAGGTGGGTGGACAATATTAAAATAGATCTTAGAGAGATAGAATGGGATGATATGGATTGGATTGATCTTGCTCAGGATAGGGACCTGTGAAGGGCTCTTGTGAACACAGTAATGACCCTTTGGGTTCCATAAAATGCTGGAAATTTCTTGAGTAGCTGCAGAATTGGTGTTTCCTCAAGAAGTGCTCAACTCCACGAGTAAGTAAGTAAGTAAGTAAAACATGTTAAATTAGGCAAACATTTCTCCCTCTCATTAGGCAGCATTTTTTTCCTATATTCCATATATTGGCAATGATGAGAGTACACAAATGTGCATTCCTTTTGGAAGTTACCTTTCAGTATTGCATACAAAAATGTCAAGCTTTAAGGTTTGTAAGTACAACTTAAGATTGTGTAATATTCATGTGCATAGAACTCCAAACACCAAATGGCAGAATAATTTTTTTGATTCTGGTGTTTTCTTACATGTATTATCTCTGGAATCTTAGATCCACATGTCATTGGCAGGATGTTACGCACAAGTTTCTTTGTCATGGGTAACTAATATACTCATAGTTAGTAAGATGCAAATGAAATGCTTTTCATGGGGTAAAGCATGTGGAAGGATATTGAGTTATAATGGAATCCATGCTTGTGGGAGCTAAATTAACACTTTTCCAGAATTATTCTTCCAGAAAAAAAAAACAAAACTAACTTCTGTATTTGCAGTTATTCATTATCATTGTTTGTTTCTGAAATACAAAGTTTTTCAAACAGAGAATCAGTGTGAATTGACTGGAAGATGATATTGTCACGTGTTGGGTGTATAACACGACAAATAACTTCACGCCGTATTGGATATAGCGAATTTATTGAACACTCGCTCTTACAATCACACAGTTTGCAATCTCAATATTATTGCCATTGGCAGTATCACAATTACTTGGCCTGCGAATGCTAGACTACAACTGACTGTGAATAGCATTCGCTGCTCCTTATTTAGCCTCGTTCTGGACAACACAGAAAACAGCCATGTAATAGGCACCACTGTTGTCTGGCGCCGTGTTTACAGGTGTTACTGGCAACGCTGTCGGGAGTTGTTTATGGCTGCATAGCAACCACGGCATCCCTTTGCCACGTCACCACTGGCGGGGTAGGGGAAGGAGTGTTGACTTGCCTGCTACCCTAGTAACGACAGTGCTTTGATGGTGTTACGTCACCGCTGGCGGGGGAGGGGTGTCCTGAATAGTGCAACATGTCACAATATAATCTCTGGTTAGTAATTACTATTTTTTTTGGTGTGATTATACTGTTAATTGTATCTACAAGTTCTGCTCTCTGTCTGTTTGATAGCTGGCTTAGGAGTACATCTATGTGGGTTGAATCCTAGCAAGTTTTCATGACACTATTTGTAGAATAATAATGTGTGAAATGGGAGCATATGAAGGTTAGCAAGCACAATATACAGGAAGTGATACAGCGCTTTTGTTTTGTCAAGGGCAGAATTTATATTTTAGTGATAATTGATGCTATATTGTATGAATACAGCTAGCATACTTACATAAGCAACTGAAAAGTATTGAACTTTGCAATTTTTACTAGTAGACATTATCACACACATATTTTATGCCAAATATCTCCCAGTTATTTCGCATTACTTAACAATGCGCACAACATGAACACACAAAATTATGTTCATCTCTCTGTCTGTGACCATCTGCATGTTATATCTTGAGACTTCCTAGATAAGAGTTCGATGAAATTTGGTATGATTATCATCATCAGTAATCTGTCAGATGACAGGTCCACAGTCTCTTCCAAAACAATGAAAGGGAATTGATTTGTTTTCAGACCCATGCTTGTTTGATCAAAATTAACTATTTTATCAAGTTTTGGCTGTCCTGTGCTTTTCAGACTAGAGGTCTTTGACATAATTTTACTGAACTGTTCTCTGCAAATACCTTCTAGTTGTTTTTGTAATCTGTAGGAACTAGCTCAGTTTCTGTGTTGAGAATCAGCTGCTCTTCATCACGTCGACATGAACACAGTGTCATTCACATTATGGACACTACAGGATTACAGACATCACAGAACAATAAAACAAAAGACTGCTTGCTCTATAGTGACCTAATATATACTTTTGTGTAATGAAGAGAAAGAAGTTTCAATATGCTACAACTTACAACTTGCCAGTGGTGTCCTGAGATAGCATAAGTTTGCATATTTCATGAGCCTTATCAAAAGATGTATTTCTTTCATACCATGGGGGTGATGTTAGCTTTAAAATTTTTTGTCATACATTTTTTAAATTTCTTCTGTTCCCTCCCAATATCAGCCTGTGGAAAATACTTACAGAATTCTTTGTGCTGATTTCAAATATATGACGGTGAGTCAAATGGAAACCTTAAATTTGTAATAAAAAATCGAAATTTCGCGCTATTATCCTGTAAGTTGGTAAGTGTGCTACAAACAGCGTGCAGAATGGACTGTAGGTTTGCAGCTTAGTGCAGATGCACGAACACCGTCACAGCACCAGTATAAGATGGCTCCCCCACTTGAGACTTTCACCAGGGAAGAACAGCGTCCTGTTTGGTTTTTGTGTAGTGAAGGTGTGAAACCTATTGAAATTTACAATATTATATTTAAGCATCCTGTTACACTCACACAATATATATGAGACAAACTCCATCTTAAGTGCAACAATTTAATTGTAGTTCTTTCTTCTTCCCTTCCTCCACACTACATGTTTAGTGTAGGCATATTAAAGACACGTATTAAAGATAAGCAGTGACACACACAGAGAGAGCCTACACAGAACAATACCTGAACAGCGATAAAACAAGAAGTGGCCGCTGCAGCACTATAGACATAGGGCGTGTACCCCGAGAAAACATTTTAATTTTTAAAAATTTGGAAAAAGAAAAATAACAGAAAATTTATAGACATTTTAATTTGAATTGAAGTTTTAAAAAAGTGCCAATTTTAGAAATCAAATTGACGCTTGTACGTTAACAAAGATTTTATACATACGTACAATTGGAGAGACTGGTGATTTTAAATTTTAAACTACGGGCAGTATAGCAGCTATGTAAGAATACACACCTGATGATGGCCATTTAGGGCTGAAACATGTAGTGTAGAGGAAGGGAAGAAGAAAGAACTACAATTAAATTGTTGCACTTAAGACGGAGTTTGTCTCATATANTGTGAAACCTATTGAAATTTATCGAAGAATGAAGTTTCAGTATGGTGATGCATGTTTGTCACAGCAGCAAGTGTACGAATGGAGTAGGAAGTTTGCAAATAGTGTGACTTCAGTGGAAGATGCTCCTTGTTCAGGTCAGGCACATCGAGTTGTGACTCCAGAGAACACTGCAGCAGTTGAAACCATAGTGAGGGAAAACGGCCGAGTGACATTGAATGAAATTGCAGCAAGTTTAAACATTAGTCATGGTTCAACGCACCACATTGTGCACGATGAGCTCC